CATTTGGCACATTACTTTTTATTTATTTTTTTGATTTACATTTACCCCACGCATTTACAATTACCCTGGTCAAAAGGGGCAAATGTAAACGAAGGTTTCATGGAGTATTAGGATGATACTAGAATTTTAAGGGACAAATGAAAACAAATTTAGTATGACTATGTTTTTATAAAAAAAAAATTCAAAAGAAGGGTATTTACATTTACCCCAGAAAAAATAAAATATGTAAATTTCTAAGGGCATCAGAGGGACAAACTAACAAAAAAACACTTAAAAATAACAGCTAGTAGCTCATTAAACAGTGGGCTTAACCTATGTCAACCTATTCATTATATTAACATCACTACAGTCACAAATCTGCTACCAGCTTTATTTTTCGAAAACCGCTACTGACCCAGGAAAAACATAAATGACTTTTTTGTTACGATATTGAAGGTTTGGGTTAGTTTAATCATTTCAAATGTTGTAACTTATATCATTTGGCTTCTCAACAAACTCTGTTGATGTAGAATTTAACTCCTGAAACCCTTGAACCGTAACATCTCCTTCTTCTTGATCGATGTTTTGTATACAACAAACTTACTCATAATGGATTTTATTTTTCTTTCTACCCTGAAAATCTACTAATACAAACAACCCTGTTTTTAATTCAGTCCAAACTGGTTTATGATATTCAACTTCACTTATTGATTCCAGTAATGACTAACTTTAATAAATCTTCATCAGAAGAGACACATAGCCGATTCGTCTAACAGTTCTTCTTGAATTTCTTCTTCCTCATGAACAACCTTTCTTTTCTTACCATATGCCTTTTTAATCCCATTCTCATTCTTATCTTTTTGCTTTTTATTGGTCCCCTTCTTTTGATCTCTTAACTTTTGAGCAGTTTCCATTTTCTCTAGAACCTGTGGGGTAGTTAAAATTTCGCTATACATTTGTTTTGTGGTTTTAGTTTCGGTATAATCTGCCTCTGTAGCTTTTTAACATTTGATTGGTTAATGTCACACGTTAATGTAACTATTACTTTGCTCAGCAAATATGCTAACTATTGTGTTGGAAGTGAATGTGGTGGTGGATGTGTGTATGCCTTTAATAGGTGTAGAATTGTCAGGTGGCTGATCAGGATCGTTAGCATTCGAATTAGGACTTGGCATATCCTGGCAATTTTGTGGTAAAGACACTCACTACCTACCTGATTACCGAAATTTTTGCATTTACATTTACCCCATTTTAGGATTTACAATTACCCCAACACTAAATTCTTTGGGGGTAAATGTAAATAGAATTTTGTAGGTTAGTACTTGCAAAATGTTTCTAGTTTTTTGTTTAAAACTAAGCAAGTATGACATTAACAATCACCTAAACCAAAATTCGAATCACAGTTACCGTTTTTGGGTCAGCAATTCACTTCTAAAAAAACCTTCACAAATCTGTTTTTCAGTTGAAACTGCACTGTTATGTTCACATGGCCGCATTTCAGAACCAACTGCCATTTCAACCTCAAAAACCACCCTTGGCTAAACAAAACGCGGGAAATGCGGATAATGATGTCAATTTTAGGTCAAATTCACTCTTAGCCAGAAAATACAAGGTATTTTCCGAGGGGCAAACCACTCCTCTAAAAAATGTACATGTATTGCGGAAATCCTATGATTTCTTGGCAATCATTGCGATTTCCAGGGCTGCCATGAGAATTTATGAGATTTCGAAGATTGCCATGAAAATCCAAATGATTTCCAAGATTGCGGGACTGCAAAATGATTATTGCAGAACTGCGGAAGGGATTGCGAAAAAAAAACTTGCGATTGCCACATTAATTTCGAGTGATTTCGGAGACTGCGAAAAGAAATATAGACATGCCCCTATGCCGCATGATTTCCACGACTACGAACGTGATTTCTGCGAATGCGAAGAAGAATGCGGGATTTTGGACTATTTTGGCGACTGTCTAAGAAGACTGCAGGATTTGCTTGTGATTTCGAAGAAATTTAAATAAAATTTACATGTGTTGCGGGGAGTAGGGCAAACCACTCCTCTTAAAAATGTACACATATTGCGGAAATCCTATGATTTCTTGGCAATCATTGCGATTTCCAGGGCAGCCATGAGAATTTAAGAGATTTCGAAGATTGCCATGAAAATAGAAATGATTTCCACGATTGCCATGAAAATCCAAATGATTTCCAAGATTGCGGGACTGCAAAATGATTATTGCAGGACTGCGGAAGGGATTGCGAAAAAATACTTGTGATTGCGCGATTGCCACATTGATTTTGAGCGATTTCGGAGGCTGTGACGAGAAATTTAGACACGCTCCTATGACCGCATTCACAAGATTTCCGCGACTGCGAACACGATTTTTGCGACTGCGAACATGATTTCTGCGACTGCGAACGTGATTTCTGCGAATGCGAAGAAGAATGCGGGATTTCGGGCTATTTTGGCGACTGTCTAACGAAGAATGCAGGATTTACTTGTGATTTCGAAGAAATTTTAATAAAATGTACATGTATTGCGGGGAGTGGTTTGCCCCTCGGTATTTTCATTTACCCCTTTTCACATTTATATCATGAAAGATATGAGCAATTATTCATGAGCATGTCAAGATTCCAAAAAATGTCCAGAGCCAAAAATTAGATTTTCTTTTTGGATTTTTTTTCTCATCGAAAATTTCAAAACTGATTTCCATTATGTGGTATCATCCCTGCTTTATGCAACAGTGAAAAGGAGTAGTGGGAATAGGACAGCAAAAGACGTTGTTATTTATTCAGCGACGTTTCGACCATATACAGTGTGATTTTTTAAGTGTGCAACATATGGGGATTTTTTTTTAGTGATAGCCGAGGTGATAGCACAACCCAAATACAAACAAGGCCAAAAGTTGGTGCATGTCTGCATACTAGGTGCACTTAGAATGGTTGCCAGTCAAACAGCATACAGGGTAGCTCAAACAATATCAAAGCTGTACTGTAAAGTAGCCTTATTTTAGAAAATTCAGCAAAATGTTATAGAGAAAACTCGAGAGAAAAGTTGTTTGGAATTAAAAGTTATGCCCGAGGTTATGCCTAAATACCCAAACATAGCCTCCTAATATTTTTTTTATTTTCTTTCGAAAAAAATCTATAATTTCTATATTTTTTTTATTTTTTATTTCGGCCCTTAATACTTTCAGAAATGAATTAAAATCAAATCAATTTTACATAAAGTCAGTTTTTTTTTAAAGATAAAAGTCAAAGTGACATTATGTTGGCAATACAATGTAAAATTGTCAATGCTTTCAAATTTTTTATGTAGAAAAGGCTTGTGTTACCAACATAGTTACTAAATTTTTGACTTGGGGAATTATCTTTAAATAAAAAACAAACTTTAACTTTGTTCAAATTCAAGCATATTTGTAAAATTAACTTAGATTTTTAATTTTTTATGGAATCACAAAATTCATGTTTGTTGCAATGATATTCAACACGAGATTCAACACAACTGTTAAATGTTGCAATTTTTTTTTAACAAGTTAAAACCGAGGTTAAAACATTACTAATGATAATAGCCATATAAAAAAAACTCTCCTTAAAGTGCAAAAGTTTTATTTTATTTAAGTAAATATTACTACAATTTTGATATTTTTTGAGCTACCCTGTATGCGGTTTGACTTGCAACCATTCTAAGTGCACCCAATATGATTATCAAACATGCACAAACTTTTGGCATTGTTTGTATTTTGATTGTGCTATTACTGAAAAAAAATCCCATATGTTGCACACTTAAGTAATGACACTGTATATGGTATCGGGTCTTCAAAAAAAAAAACCAATCAAAGATTGCTATGGTTTTTTAAACGTATGTCTTAGCAATATTTGTCTTTAATTTTGTCAATGAAATTTAATGTCAAAATGTATTGTCAAAAATCCTGACGAATAAAGAAACAGTAATGCGGCGTACGTTTTTGTAGTCAAAGCAATCTTCGATTGTTTTTTTTTTTGAAGACCCGATATATGGTAGGTTTCAAAAATTAGCACAACGAAAATGGCACACATCAGAAAAACTAAAGTACCAAATTCGAGCCTATTTAGTGCTAATTTAGTACAAAGAAAAAAAGTAAGTAATACTCGACATGCTCAGAATATGCCTATAAGTTGGTCTCTTGTACAAACTTGAGTACATACCAATATAATGCTTTGAATTTCTCAGTGTTTTCTTCAATAGTCTTAAAACTAAGTTAAGGCAGACTTTGTTAAATAATTTATACTTAGTTGTATCCTTATGTTTGTTAATATTATTTGTGAAATGAGTCATCTTGATTTGTAGTTTGCTATCTGTAATGATGTTAGATTTTTTGTTTCCTTGTATATTGTCATAAATTGAAATTATATCTAAATTAAGATACTTTTATATTGTAAAATGGTGTAAGAATAAATATATAAAAACTAAAAACCCCTAAGGACTTGAAACCCAATGACAAACCCAATACTCAGCAGCCTTATTGCTTGATTAGTAATTGTATCAATAGTGTTTGTAAATGGTAACTAACAGTCTAACCAGACTCTGAGATCCTTCATCACAGTTTGCCTTTCCAACCCGATAAGTGAAGTGGTCAACTTTTCTTGGAAGAGATTGGGGATTCCAAGAATAATCTTTATTTTAAGAAAAAACAGTAGTGTAGCGTGTACCATCAATGTGTGCCAAAATAGACAAGTCAAATTTCTTACGAATGCCACTAGTGGAAATTCTAGTTCTAAGAACAAGTCGATGTTGAAATTGAACTCAATGGTTTCCATGTTTTGATTAATATGAGCTTGAAATTTGATCAAAATTTAACCTGAAAATCTCAGAACATCAACACTTTCTAGTTCTGAGAAAGAATCTTGCTGAAACTTGGAAAGACTCTGAAACTTACATTTTCTAGTTCTGAGAACAAATCATTGTTGAAACTAAACTCAGACATTCTAAATGATTTCCAGGTTTTGTTTATGAATATTATGAGCTTGAATTATCATACTTACCCACTCATAAGCGTATACAGTATCTCAGACTTGGTACAAATATATTCCACCGTAGGTGACCGAGTCCCGATTTGCCTCCTTAAAATGTTATTAAACACTTGCGCCACGTCCTTCTTGCCCTCAAAATCGATCCGATTCAGATTCTGAACTAGCAACAACAACAAATTACTATTGTAGAGTTCCTGAGCCAGCTGAGCCACAATAATATCGGTCTGGGGCTCAGACTCTGATGTCCCGTACAACATATTTTTGATCAGAACCAGGTTCTTCGACACGTCCTCTTGGGCTTTCTCGGCCTTTTTGTCGCCCTTTTCCAAAGCGTTGACGGCCTCTTTGAGGGCCTTTACCACTTCGGCGGGGCCCTTTTGCGATTTTCCAAATAGAGGCATCTTGATTCAAGCCCTGAGTTTTATAAGATAGCGATTCAAATCCCTGTTGATATCTGTTTTAGAGGGTTTTCTTCATGAGGGTCGCGTGGGGCACTAAAGTATGGTCTCGTTCATTGCCTTTTGCTAATGTTTTTTTGGCAAATAAGAAGATAAAATAAACCTAATTTTCTGTGTGGAAACTTGCACTTGCACTCAATTTTTATTTTATGATTTATGATGATTTTTATATTTTGACAGTATTTGACAATTTTGACGGAATCGTACTGCCAACGCCTGAATAATTTATTTTTTTGGGTTGGCAACATTGTTCATTGAGGAAGAGTTGAAAAAGTTCGTCAATAGATGGCTCTATGTATGTGCCAAATCAATTTTTTTTATTGCGCCTCCGCCATGGTAAACAGAATGTGTTTTCCAAAAAAATTTGAAAAGACTTCCCACTAATCTTATGGAAATTGTCTGAAATTTGGATATGTTGTGCTCGTGGACCTTCTTAACAAAATTATAGGTCTGTTCGTAGAGAAATCACAAACCAGTCAGAGCGAATTTCATTGGCTAAAAACAGTCAGAAACAGTCAGAAAACTTGTTTCAACCAATGAAATTCGCTCTGACTGGTTTGTGATTTCTCTACGAACAGACCTAATAATTGGCAAAAAAAAATCCAACAAGCCATTTCCGAGTTATAGAAAGCTGAAAATTTTCAGCGATTCCTATTCCAGTAGAGGGCTACAATTCCTGAAAATTTTAACTCATTTGGACCTTTAGGCCCGAGTTACCCAATTCCTTAATTCTTAATATTTATCCCTAATTCTTAATTCTTGAAAAGTTTAATTTATTTATGACATTGCTGTTTTCAAAAATTAGGAATTTCCCAACAAACCAAACGCAATCGGCAAATGAGCGGCCGCCAGCCGGCACGTTCGGTACTCTGGTGGCTGATGTAGCCATTATCTGGACCTCCATCGGTCCAGTTCGGGTATACCGGGAACGGTTTTTACGCTTTCAGGCCGAAGGTGGCTAATACTCGGAAACTCACTACCGGGAGGCCCTATTTCGTGCCAAAGCAGATCCGCAGTACGGTGTACGGTTTGCCAGTTACGTACTCCATCTTCCGGACCACATACGGTTAAGAAGCGGTTTACCGCTCTGGGACTGCGTGTCATGCGCGATTGAATTTCACTTGGTTCATGAACAACTCGGACCATTCAGAGGGCGTTCGTGTCCCTCTTCTCTAACCGAATAACTACCGTCGAGCGGGGCTAAGTGGACCATAGCGGGTAAAGTGGACCAAGAGGACATTAAAAATAAAAAAAATGTGTACTTCCTAAAATAAAACCGACAACAACGCTTCCGCGCGCCAATTTGTCTATAAACCTATAATAGATGCTACCATATCGAGTTGGAGCTACTTGCAGTTGGTTGACGAAACTTGTAGGGGTACGAACAGTCGCGCCAATTTATTGTTTACTTACTTCAAACAGCTGTAAAACCTCCTCTGCATTCCGGATCAGAATACTGATGTAAGTTTTTACGTATATTGGGAGGTTTAATAAAACATTTATGTACAGGGTGTCCCATTGAAGATGGGAATTGGGGTTATCTGCTAAACTCGCAGAGATATATTTTTTTTGATCTCATATTCCCGGGTCAATTTTTTATAACAAATCGAATGCCGTAAACCGCAGGTCTCTATCTTGTTTCAATTCGGAGATACAGGGTGAAACTTGGAATGTTCCCTTTTCGAGGGTAGTCATTATCTAGCGTATGAAAAAAGATATCAAAAAGGTGAAAATTGTATCTGGCAGTTTTTTACGTAGATTTCACTAGCGTACTGGAATTTTTTTTCCGAGATACCGTTTAAATAAAAATCTACCTCTATGAGTTTAGCAGATCAGCAAAGGGTAGTTGAATCAACGTTAATTAAAGATTGATTGATGTCGTAGGCGTTGATATACCAAAAATCAACGTTGAATGGGCATTATGAAAACAACGTATTCGTCAACGTTTTCTAAGCAAAGTCTATTCAACGTTGAATATAGTTTGAAAAAAATAATTCGAACCCATCGGTACCAATAAAGTATCTATCAAATCTAGACTAGGTATAGCAACTTTGAATAGTTATATCACTGGTTTTTCTCTGTTTGATTTAGCCCATCACTAGATGTTAAATAAACGTTGAATGGAGATTCAAAATGTTTTTTGAAATAAATATATGTACGCTATTAGTAAAATTTAAAATATCAATAAAAAACCAGATATTTATTATTAGGTCTGTTTCTGCAGAAATCACAAACCAGTCAGAGTGTATTTCATTGGTTGAAACTAGTTTTCTGACTGTTTCTGACTGTTTTCAACCAATGAAATTCGCTCTGACTGGTTTGTGATTTCTGCAGAAACAGACCTATTATAAATCTTTATGAATGCAGGTTTAATGTTTAAAGCTCCAACATTCGACGTGAAATAATATTATATAAGTTCCCTAAAACTACATAAAGTGGTATCTCCATGCAAATTCATTCAAACTTCCCGCTAAGGTGCATCGTGTCCCGCCATTTGCCGACAGCGCCCTCTGAGCCCTGTGGCGTGGCCCAGCCCATCATTGCATTGGCGTCTGGCCGCTGGCGTCATCACGTTCATCGCGTCATTTTTCGTATTCACTCAGGTTTTTGTTGATTTTATTATTTTGTGTAAATTTAAAATTATTGAATGTGTAAAAGGTGTTATTATTTTTGTCATTGTGTGTTTATTAATGTGTCTAGCCTGGATTTAACTTCGATTGGTGGAAAATGGTGGTAGCGGGAAATAATTTCTCAAAATTATAGAAACCTTTTCATACTTTTCAATTCCTATTTAAGAGCAAGCCAGTTGAATTTTAACAATCCTCCAAATAATGTTTTATTTTGATCAAATTTGTTTGCTCTTACTGTTTCGATATATTAAATTTTGTGTCAAAGAGTTTGTGGTTTGTGTTTATTTAAAAAATTTGTGGAATAAAGTACCTATAACCTCAAACATTTTGGTGATTTTATTTTAATTGAAAACTGTTCTGACAAAGCCAGCTATAGAACAAGTTTCATAAGACGCAATTTGATATAAAATGTCTTATGAAGCATGTTTTTTGTACTATTTTTTCTATTTCAAGTTGTAAGTTGAGCTCAACCTCAGGCTCAACGTAAAATCAGACGTCTTAATTACATCTGGTCAAGGTTGTGATAACGGTTGAGTTCAACGTGAAATCTGACGTCTCGAATACATCTGATCAACGTTGTTATAAGATTGAGGCCAACAAAAAAAACGACGTTAATTCAACGGTCACATTCAACGTTGTCTCAATTATGACATTGTGCCGTCCTGTCAACGTACATTCAACTGTTGTTACAACGTAATGCAACGTTGGGAAGTATCGTACATTCAACGTTATATCGACCAAACCTTGCTGCATGGGTAGCCCCAATTCCCATCTTCAATGGGACACCCTGTACAATGAATAACTGTTAAAAATATTTTTTTATTATTTGTTTGTTTTGTTTTTTTGTATAAATTAAATAAACTACAAAACTGCGGGGTAAGTGGACTGGTCCACTTCACCCGCAGGAGAGGTTCTAAATTTGTTTTTTTTTTTTGTAGTTGACTTAAGATGGTCCGCAACTATAAAAAACAACTAGGAAAAGTTCCTAACTGCAACTACACAGAAGAAAACTTAAATTTGGCAATCAGAGAGGCACAGTTAAATTAGGTCGGCTTTCTAGAAGAAAAATATGTACAAAATATGGCATACCAAGAACAACCTTAAAACGGAAATTCGAGAAAACCCACCCAGGAAAATATGGTCGTCAACCAGCTTTGAATGATGATGAAGAACAACAAATAGCCCGAAGCATCATTATTTGTGAAGAATGGGGATTTCCATTGACCATGTTGGATATAAGGTTAATTATTAAACAATTTCTTGATCGTATTGGAAGGCGAGAATCACGATTCAAGAACAATATGCCAGGAAAGGACTTCATTAAGCTTTTTCCAAAAAGACACCCTGAGCTTTCAGTGCGCTTCTCAGAAAACATCAAGCGTTGTAGGGCTGCAGTTGGTGCCGACCTTATAAACTCTTATTTTGATCAACTTGAAAATACATTACTAGGCGTTTCATCAGACAGTATTTTAAACTATGATGAAACGAATTTCTGTGACGACCCGGGAAAACAAAGAGTGATTTTGAAAAGAGGCTCTAAGTACCCAAAATATATAATAGACTCATCAAAAACAAGCATCTCTATAATGTTATGTGGATCAGCCGCTGGAGTATTACTTCCACCGTATGTTGTATATCGAGCGGAGAACTTATATCCTACGTGGATTGAAGGTGGCCCACCTCAAACTCGGTATAATAGATCGAAGAGCGGATGGTTTGACGAAAGGACCTTTGAAGATTGGTTTCGGAGTACTGCCCTGCCATACTTGAAAAACCAACCTGCTCCTCGGGTCTTAATTGGGGACAATTTATCGAGCCATGTTTCTGAAGCTGTCATCCGAACTTGTAACGAAAATGACATCAGATTTGTGTTACTTCCGCCAAATTCTACTGGAATTTGTCAACCTCTCGATGTGGCGTATTTTGGTCCACTAAAACGGAAATGGAGAGCTGTGCTTCTAGAGTGGAAACAAAACAATAGGGGAGTAGTCCCGAAATCCGATTTTCCCAGACTTTTGAAGAAAACTTTAGAGGTCCTTCAAACCTCATCAGAAAATTTGAAAGCTGGTTTTGCTGCTTGTGGAATTTGTCCGTTAAATCGGCAGAAAGTTTTACAGCGACTGCCAAAAGAGGCTCCAGATGAACCGGGCACTTCTAATGCGATTAACCAAGAGTTAATCGAATTTCTAAAAAAAAACAAGAATGCCCGAAAACCAGCAAAAAAAACCAAGAGGTAAGAAAATGAAAGTAGCACCAGGAAAAAGTGTTTCATTTGAACAGAATGAAACATCCTCCGAGGATGAAGGCGATTACAGTGAACACAATGATTCATCTGATAATGAAATATTTGCGAGTGACGTTTCTAATGAAGACGAAATTTTAGAAGCTGAAGAATTACAAAAAGTTGGTACCAGTTCAACTTCTTGTAATTCTTCAGCTCAACAAAAAAGTTTAGATAAATTGGTGAAAGACGATTTTGTCATCGTGAAGTTTGAAATCACTTCATCAAAAAGAAATTTATATTACGTTGGACAGATAATAAATAAAATACAGAACAGATTTCAA